TACCATTTACAGTTTTGATCTCCCTTCTTCTGCACCCTAGATATGAGATTACCTGGTACCCTCATTCATTCACTCCCAAGACCATGAAGAGAAGAGATGGAGAAGAATGAACTGGTAGCTCAGATCTCCATGGCCCATCAAAGTAGGGTCTGGTGCACTGCGCACAGGTAAACAAAGACACAAGGATTGAGAGCTAATGGAACCACTGGGCTCTTATGGGATATTTGAATTCATATAGCCTTTTTAATCCTATGTACTTACTGCTGCTAAGAAGAAGACTATTTTCCTGCTGATTAGAACAGCAGTAGTCTTTGTAGCACAGTTGGTATTTTTCCTTAGTGGGGGACCTTGAGAAGCCTATCTTTCTATAGGCCGAGCAACCCATGTTCTTAGATACTGATCCTACATAGACCCTTTACCTACATACAAATGTTAGTGACTTTATAACCACCGGGGGTAGGGGTAGATAAACAGGAAATATATAATTCAGTAGTAAGGTTTCCTGACCAAAAGGAAACTCAAGAACAAAAAAAAATCTAACTTTTTGCCTTTCACAGAAACTCTTATGAAAAACAAAACTAAAATCTGCTAGTCTGAGATTTTCCAGCACACACGAGAAAAACACATGAAACCATAGAATGTTCAATATTTGGACTGTGAGACATACAAAACATGGTATGCGTTAGTTCTTAAAGGTTTCTGTAGAAAAAGGTTTTTAGGTTAAGAATATTTGTTTTTTTTAAAACCAAATACAACACCACTAAATCCCAGTATTTTATAAATGCTGTCTATCTGTCTGTCTGCCTTTCTATCTGTCTGTCTGTCTTCCTATATGTCTGTCTACCTGCCTTCCTATTTGTCTGTCTGTCTACCTGCCTTCCTATCTGTCTGTCTATTTGCCTTTCTGTCTGTCTATCTGCCTTCCTATCTGTCTGTCTGCCTTCCTATTTGTCTGTCTACCTGCCTTCCTCTATGTCTGTCTGTCTGTCTGCCATCCTATTTGTCTGTCTGTCTACCTGCCTTCCTATCTGCCAGTCTGTCTACCTGCCTTCCTATATGTCTATCTGTCTGCCTGCCTTTCTATCTGTCTGTCTGTCTACCTGCCTTCATATCTGTCTGCCTACCTTTCTATCTGTCTGTCTGTCTGTCTACCTGTCTTCATATCTGTCTGTCTGTCTACCTGCCTTCCTATATGTCTGTCTGTCTACCTGCCTTTCTATCTGTCTGTCTGCCTTCCTATCTGTCTGTCTGTCTGCCTTCCCATCTGTCTGTCTGCCTTCCTATTTGTCTGTCTACCTGCCTATCTATATATCTGTCTGTCTGCCTGCCTTTCTATCTGTCTGTCTGTCTGTCTACCTGCCTTCCTATCTGTCTGTCTGCCTTCCTATTTGTCTGTCTAGCTGCCTTCCTATTTGTCTGTCTACCTGCCTTCCTATCTGTCTGTCTGCCTTCCTATTTGTCTGTCTGTCTGTCTGCCTTCCTATTTGTCTGTCTACCTGCCTTCCTATCTGCCTGTCTGTCTGTCTACCTGCCTTCCTATCTGTCTGTCTGTCTACCTGCCTTCCCGTCCGTCCTTCTGCCTTCCTGACTGTCTGACTGTCTGTCTTTCCGTCCATCTGTCTATCTATCTATCTATCTATCTATCTATCTATTTTTCCTGTCAAAACACTGTGTGCACTTGCTGGAAAGTACTATTTACCAAATAACTTTATTTACTATCTTCACGGTTCGTTTGTAGCAATTATCATGTAGAAGGGATGGACACTTGTGGTTAACTTTGCTCAGATTCCAGCTCATTTTCTGTCTATAATAGAGGTGAATGGGCAGCAAAGGTCATTATGTGTAGCTTTCCTCCGCTTTCTCTCTTCTACAGAAAGCTTTTAAGCAAGTGTAATGCGTGTCTGCAGCCATTATATTACAGAACGTAAAATGCGGCCCAGCTACACATAAACATGATGGAATTACATGTCTCTAAAGTATATTATGACAGGGTGCAGTCAGGGACACGATAACGATCATTAACTCTGTCACTAGCCAAAAACCAGACCAGGACTTTTTCTCCTCCAGAACTGACAATGTAATCCATACGTGCAATTCTATGTATTATATGTCAACTTTTCATTGCTCTAGAACCATGGTAGGCAACCTTCGTCACTCCAGATTTTGTGGCCTACATCTCCCCTGATGGTTGCAAGACTATTAAGGGAGATGCAGTTTACAACATCAAAAATATACCACTTGCCACTTGTGTAAGAGGGGAAGAGCATAACAAACTTTGTTTTAGCACGTTCTAGACTCATGATGTCCAAGGCAGAAGATGTATTTGCTCTTCCCTAAGAGAAAGCTTGCCCCCACTTCATTGCAGAAATTCTCGCAGTTAGTCCACCTTCTCATCGATACCCTGTAAATAGCTTATGTACTGCTTCTTGGTGGATTTAGTTAATTTTAGATTTCAGTGGCAGTTAATCACTTGTTTCTCAGATTGTGTCGTTCATTATTTTTTAATCTGATGTCTGGTCCACGCCAATTCCAGACATTCAATCAATTAGGTAGCATGTTATAACAAATATTGGCCTTGATTTAATATTTTTGGATAAACTTTGCAATATTTTTTTTTTCAAAATATGTATCAATACAAATCATATATCAAAATATATCAATATATCAAAATGAATCAAAATATTAAAATATTTTTCAAAATGTGAAATCACTTTAGATGTTTTTTTTCCAAAAATATAATATAATTTGAGAAATTTGAAATCAAGGCCATTATATGTTAAACATTATTTAACAAATATAAAAGGACAATTTTTACAGCAACCTTTTTTTACATATCCCAGGCTAAAAAAATGATTTGTGCTTTTTTATTTTGCTTTGAGTGTCTATTTCCGTTCCCATTCAAACGTATATTTCTAAACATGCTGCACTTAGTATTGTCAGCTTATAAAAATACATATAAAAATGCTTATGTCATAAAATAAAATATTTTTAATTTTTTTATGGTCACACGTGTACAGTATATATAATAGATAAATGTGGTCGGTCTTTGTCTTCTGGTAATTCAACAATAGTTCTTTGATACTGTTTATTACATAAACCACCACCAGAAATGTTATATCTACCGGAGGACACTTTGTTCCATGAAGATATTCTACGCATCACTGTATTTTTTAGCTTTAATCCTATTAGATATCTATTGTACTTCGCATCTTCTCAGACAAACCACTACAAGATGATGTTTCCAAGTCCCAAGTTTTTAGAACAAGTTAATAGTGATGTAAAGGATAAAAGTGCGCTTAACAAAGAAACACATCGGAAGCTGCAGGCTAAAGCATATATGAAGAATGAGAGATTACAGAGCTGGCTAAATGACACAGGAGATGCAAAACAGCTATTTTAGGAGACAAAACATGAATGCAGAAAAATGATAAGAAAATAACAGAAACTCCACTGTGTAAAGCTCAGATTTCATATGTCTCCTGAGGGAGTGTTTAAAATGTTAATGTCTGTGAGGAGGAAGAGATCTTTTCTATAATTGAGCTGTTGGTATTTGCAAACTGTTAGGTTCTCTTTATTTCTGAGCATGAAAATCTTTTTGCCGTTAAAGGAGAGAGAAAAAAAATCCAGTTGGTTTGCATTGCTCACAGGAGGTGGTGGCATTTTAAATAAAAAGAGGGTATTTATCAAGTTCTCTTGAAAGAAAATTGCTGACAAAACAGCAGTTAAACAGCATTAAAGAATCAAATGTATATTTTACTTTTAACCATTATGGCTTAAAGCTTGTCGACAGAGCAGCTAAGCAGTTCTTTCAAAAACATTTTGGGCTCGATGCATCATAAAATCTCCATCCTTGCTCCATCGAAGGTCTCGGAGGTGGACAGCTAACTGCCTTTTATGTTTGATGTACGATGTACTGTCCAGATGTATCTCCTACCAATCTGAAAGTCATCTTACTACTTGTCATCAAAAATGATCCATGTTGACTTGCCCACAGTAGAGGAATCCTTTGTGATTGTCCAAATAGATGAAAGCTTAAATCAAGTGTTTGCGGTTATTTAGAGCCCTAGAAAGTCCAATGTTTATTATCAGAACCCACCAGTAGAACATATTTTTAGGACCATGTCACATAACTGAGTTTATTTTCCCAAGTTAGATGGACCTCTTGATGTTTCGCATATATTGTTTAGTGGAAGAGACAAAGGAACACATTCTGGAGAAGTTGAGCAACATTGGGGGCTACTGATGAAAACTAGTTATAAAAAAAGATCAGTCTCTATAGAAACATAATACTGTTGACACTTCTTTCTCCCTCTATAGAAATTAAGTCCAGAAAGCTGATAAAAAATAAGAAGACCCTTTAGATTGATTGTCCGCTCTCTCATAAATTGTAAGACTAATATACGACTGTTTCAGTGATTACCAGAAGAAAGATGTGTTTAATTGTTATAAAATACACTGATCAGCCACAACATTAAAATGGAAGGATAAAGATAATTTAGGCGCTCACTATAGTGATGGAGAGAATAGGGAGTGGGCAGCAGTAACCACACAAGGATTCCCTACCTTGTGACAAAACAATAGTGAACAAAGAAAAAAGGAAACCGCGCCCTTATTGTGATACGTAAATACGTACTCAAGTCCTTATGGCCATACACTTGCAATGATGTACCTCAAAAAGAAAAAAGAGATATACAAATAATAGTGTAGTACTGATGGTATTCCGTAAGTGAACAAAGAGTAAATAGATGTACACTCACATATAACAGAGCTAGAAACAGAGTTCTGCTGTTCATGCGCATGGACGGAACAATCCCCGTCTTAGGATAAATGTAAAGTGGTCCACGTCTTGAAGGTCTCAAATAAAGAACATACAGATAGACAAGGGAATCCACATAGTGTAGTATGTATTAAAATCACTTAAAATAAGGAATAAAATGTAAAGTATCGCATGCAGAAAAACAAAGCCAACAGAAAGAAGTAGGTCTACTTTTAAATCAAATATTAATAATAAGATCTATAACATCAAAGAAATTATTACTTGCGAAAGCAAGAATGTTATTTACCTATTGGAATGCCCTTGTGGCCTCCAATATATTGGTCGTACGATTAGACCTTTAAAAATGCCGATAGCTGAGCACTGCAGAAATATCGAAAAAAATTATGAAAAACACTCAGTGTCTGCACATTTTTGCAAACATAATAATGATCCCAAATTTCTTACATTTATAGGGATCATGATAGTTAAAAACCATTGGAGAGGTGGTGATTTTATTAAAGAAATAGGAAAAAAGGAGATGGAATGGGTATTTAAAATTGATACTTTGCATCCGAATGGACTAAATATAGATTTTGACCTTTTTAATTTTTTATAATATACCTTTTTTAAATAAATTTTTTCTTTTTTGGCAAATTTAAATAATATTTTTTAAATATGTACATCATTTTTAGACTGTGTTTACTATACTATATAAATACAGTCTATAGCAGACAGTCTAAATTTTAAGTATCAATTTTTTATATTTGATTCTGATCATACTTATATATTTACTTATGTTGGATGAGTTTTTTATATATTTTATGCATGATTACACTATATTTTTTTTAGCCCTTTCCCATATCCCAATATATATGAAGGGTCTTTGTTATGTATCTTATCTATATGTATCTTTTATTTTTATGTTCTCACCCTTTTATTTATCTATAACACCTTTTAGGATATTTCCTATTCCAATGTTCTAGTTGTGTATTATTTGCTTCCCTTCAATAATGGTTAATATATCACAATATGTCAAACATCAGCTTTTTTATTTGCATGCTAAGTTTTATTTGCATGATTTTTATTATGACACATATCAATATAAGGTTATATTATTGGTATGTGTTTGTTGTTGCTGATTCATTGAAATGTATCAATTTGACAGTGCTACCATTGTGCTTTGAGAGCTACATAGTGATGAAGCCACTGCCGTTTTTTTCTGCGTTCCTTCTGTGGAACGCATGGTACATGCTTATATCATCACTATGTTTCTGCCTCTCCTCGCTTGCGTTCCACATGTGGAACGCATAGAACTCCACCGCCCGGTCACGCCGCGTCATTTCCGGTATGACGCGTGCGTTCCACCGGTGGCTAACATCATCCATATCCTTCTATTTTCTATTGGCTAAAATGGCGCCGCGTCACTTCCGGTATGACGCGCGCGCGAAAACCAGGAAACAGTAAGTAATTTTCAACACATGAAGACAATTGTTTTAAATTTTATTTCTTATATATTTGGACATTAAAAGGACTTTATCTACACTTCTGAAGAAGCCTCTACAGGTGAAACGCGTAAAGTGGATTTTTTATGGACTTTCTCATTGAGTGTATCTCATTTGTTTTTATTACTTTCTATGTACAATAAACAGTTACTATTTTATATATTTTTATCACTCTGAGACATCCATTATTATATACCTTTTTTTTCCTGGTTACCATTTTATTCCTTGGTGGGGATTATACCACCTATACGCTGTAAACTAGAGCGAGGCACGCTCTAGTAAATGTGAGTACGATACTTTACATTTTATTCCTTATTTTAAGTGATTTTAATACATACTACACTATGTGGATTCCCTTGTCTATCTGTATGTTCTTTATTTGAGACCTTCAAGACGTGGACCACTTTACATTTATCCTAAGACGGGGATTGTTCCGTCCATGCGCATGAACAGCAGAGCTCTGTTTCTAGCTCTGTTATATGTGAGTGTACATCTATTTACTCTTTGTTCACTTACGGAATACTATCAGTGCTACACTATTATTTGTATATCTCTTTTTTCTTTTTGAGGTACATCATTGCAAGTGTATGGCCATAAGGACTTGAGTACGTATTTACGTATCACAATAAGGGCGCGGTTTCCTTTTTTCTTTGTTCACAACATTAAAATGACCTGCCTAATATCATGTAGATCTCACTTGTTCTTCCAAAACAGCTCTGATGTGTCGAGGTGTGGACTCCACAAGACATATGTACATGCCCTGTGGTGTCTGGCACCAAGACATGAGCAGCAGATTCTTTAAGTCCTTCAAGTTACAATGTGGCACCTCCGTGGATCGGAGTTGTTGTTTCAGCACAATCCATAGATGCTTAATTGGATTGATATCTTGGGAATCTGGAGGTCAAGGCAACACCTTGAACTTTTTGTCATGTACCTCAAACCATTCCTGAATAATTAAAGGAAAGTGTAGCAGTGTGAATCATCCTGCAAAACTAACCACTAACTAGGCCACTAACATTAGGAAACACCATTGCCATGAAGGGGTATGCGTGGTCTGCAACAATTGCTAGGTAGGGGGTACGTGTCAAAGCAACATCCACATGAATGGGAGGGTCAAAGGTTTCCTAGTAAAACATTGCCCAGAGCATAGCACTGTCTCGGCTTGTTGACGTCTTTCTATAGTGCATGCTGCTGCCATCTCTTCCCCATGTCAGTGATGCACGCGCACCTGGCCATCCATCTCATCTAAAAGAAAACATAATTTACCCGCCCAGACAACCTTCTTCCATTGTTCCATGGTCCAGTTCTGAGGTTCGCATCCCCATTGAAGGTGCTTTCAGTGGTGGACAGAGGTCATCATGGACACTCTGACCAGTCTGTGGCAGCCCCATATGTAGCAAACTGTGATGCCCTTTGTGTTCTGACACCTTTTTATCATGGCCAACATTAGGTTTTCAGCAATTTGAGCTGCAGTATTGTGTGATTGCACCAGAAGGCAGCGGCTTACATACCGTGACTAAAATATTTTGCACGTGTGTGTGTTAGTGTGTATGTGTCTCAGTGTGTCTATGTATGTGTGTGTATGTATGTGTGTCTATGTATGTGTCTGTATGTAAATGTGTGTGTGTGTCTCTATGTATTTATGTATGTGTGTCTGTGTGTGTCTATGTATGTGTCTGTGTGTGTGTCTATGTATGTGTCTGTATTTATCTGTGTGTGTATGTGTGTATGTGTCTGTGTGTGTGTGTGTCTGTATGTCTGTATGTATGTGTCTCTGTATGTATGTTTGTATGTGTCTGTATGTGTCTGTTTATGTCTGTATGTATGTGTGTCTGTGTGTATCTCTGTGTGTCTGTATGGGGTGGCATGGTGGTGCGGGGGCCCCATGGATCTGTTTTGCACCGGGGCCCCATAGATTGTGTGTACGCTACTGCCAGAAGGGCTAGCCTTCGCTCCCTATGTGCATCAATAAGCCTTGGTCACCCATGATCCTGACCCCGGTTCACTGTTTGTCCTTCCTTGCACCACTTTTGGAAGGTACTAACTACTGCATGCCGGGACCACCCCTCAAGACTTGCTGTTTTAGAGATCTCTGATCCAATTGTCTAGACATCACTATTTGGCCCTTTCGCTTGCCCATTTTTCCTGATTCCAACACATGAAATTCAAGAACTGAATGCTAACTTGCTGCCTAATATATCCCACCCTGCGACATGTGCCTGTCAGTGATTTTAATGTTGTGGCTGATCAGTGTATAATAAATATTACTAATGTGCAAACAAGTTATAAAATAAAATGCTGCAATTATTGCATACCTAGCAAATCAACGTCCTCTTTTATATCTGTAGGCTTGAGATCTGAGGTCTTAACCCCTTAACGCCGTTATGGCGTTCTATGCCGTCCCGCATTAAATGGGCTTTAAAGCTGTTGCGGTGGCATAGAATGCCGTAACGGCTGAAGCCCCCAGGAGATCGGAGGTACTTACCTCCGCTGCGATCCTCTTCTGGAGGGCTGCCTGACAGCTCAGGCAGCCCCCCTACGTCAAATGAGGCCCCCGGGGCCATGTGATCGCTCTCAAAGAACGATCACATGGCCCCCTATAGCTGGCTGTGGATCTGCCAGCAGGGGGACTGTCTGAAATGTCACAGTCCCCCTGCTGGTGGGAAGTATAAAAAAATAATAATAATGAAACATGTTTAAAATAAATTAAATGTGTATTTATGTATACATAAAATATATATATATATATATTATATATATAATATATATGCATCTTATATATATATATGTAACATCATATGTAGTGTATTTTAATGTTAATATAAGTACATATATTAGTATTAAAATACACTTAGAATGACGTTACATATTTATAAGATATATATATATTATATATATATAATACATCTATATATATTTTATATATAGATATATACATAGTTAATTACAATAATAAATAAAATAATAAAATAAATAAATAAAATATTTAAAAAAATTTTAACTAAATTATATATACATATGTAATTTCATTCTAACTATATCGTTTTTAATATATATATATATATTGGTAACAAAATACACTTAGAATGACATTCTATATCTATCTATCTATATATAAAATACAAATAACCACAAATATATATATACAGATAAATATATATAATTACATAAATAACTACATAAGTGTACATGTAGACTTTAAATACATATATATGTATATATGTTAAAATTCTACGTGTATATTTAAGTAATATTTTAACATAATTATGTGATTTAATTAGTTAAAATTTGATTGACATGCCTGACAACTAAGGCAAAAAGTGCAGAGAATTTGAATTGCAAGCACTATATTTAACCCTGTAACTTTCCAAGACACATGGGGGGTACTGTTTTACTCGGGAGACTTCGCTGAACACAAATATTAGTGTTTCAAAATGGTAACTTGTATTACAACAATTATGTTTTTAGTAAAAGTTACTTTTTTTGCATTTTTCACACATGAACGGCACTTTTACTGACGATATTGTTGTAATACAAGTTACCATTTTGAAACACTAATATTTGTGTTCAGTCCCCTGAGTAAAACAGTACCCCCCATGTACATGTTTTATGGTGTTTTGGAAAGTTAGAGAGTCACATATAAGGCTTGCATTTCATTTTTTTCACATTGAAATTTGCCAGATTGGTTATGTTGCCTTTGAGAGCGTATGGTAGCCAGGAATAAGAATTACCCCCATGATGACATACCATTTGCAAAAGTAGACAACCCAAGGTATTGCAAACGGGGTATGTCCAGTCATTTTTAGTAGCCACTTAGTTACAAACACTGGCCAAATATTTGTGTTTGCTTTTCTCACACAAAAACAAATATGAACGCTAACTTTGGCCAGTGTTTATGACTAAGTGGCTATTACAAAAGACTGGACATACCCCACTTGCAATACCTTGGGTAGTCTACTTTTGCAAATGGTATGCCATCATGGGGGTAAATCTCATTCCTGGGCTACCACACGGTCTCAAAGGTAACATTACTAATCTGGCAAATTTCAATGTGAAAAAACTGAAAAATGGAATGTGCTATATTTGACCCTTTAACTTTCCAAAACACCATATACACTGTTAATGGGGGCTACTGTTGTACTCGTGAGACTTTGCTGAATCCAAATATGTGCTTTTTTTTGGCAGTAAAAGCTAACAGTATTATGACATTTACAGCTAAAATGTGAGGTGGAACTACAAATTTTTAAAAAAATTTAAAATTTCACAGTTTTTTTAATTTTATTCATAATAAATTATGTTTTATATATAAATATGTGATATGAAATGAAAGCCCTGTTTCTCCTGAACAAAATGATATATAATAAGTGTGGGTGCACATAATATGAAATAGGTGAATTACGGTTGAACAGACATATAGGGAAAATTCCAGTTTTTGTTTACATTTTGTTTTGATCAGAACGTGTACTATTGACTCCGTTCTGAAGGGGTTAATCTACTCAGCAGAAAAAACATTAATCAGACTATTAGTAAATAGTGGGGGAAATCAAAATAATGGATTCAGCCATATAACAGTGGGAGATACTGGACAACTGCATCCCTCTGACAGCCACTAGAGCAGCTCATTATTGTATTAAAGGAACACTCCAAGCACCATAACCACTACAGTGCCCTGCAGTAGTTATGGTGTTAGGAGTGCCTCAGAGATATGACAAGCCGGCACTCTCAGACAATAAACAAACCCTGAATTACAGGACATAGCTCAAGAGAGAGAGTGAACGAAAGCTCCTGCTAGGAAGTAGTGGAGGCAGGTAGCAGCTCCCGGCAGATCCCAGGTAAGAAATAAAACCGTTCTAAAATGTTTGACTGCTTACAATGGACGGGTGCCAGGGCACTCCTTGTACTATAACCACTACAGCACATGGTAGTGGTTATGGTGCTTGGAGTGTAACTTTTTTCATTTTAAGCCACTTGGGACTTTATGTCCAAATTTGGGCAGCACTTGAATGCTGATAGCGCCAGACTAAGTAACTGTCAGTGTGAAGGAAGTAAGTATGACTATTTTTGAACCATGCTAAGGATACATAGAGATCGGAAGCCCAGAATGATGTGTCTAGACACCGTGCTTTTAGATATATTTTTTTTTAGTTCATTAGACTGTGCTCCCAGACCATCCATATAATGTTCTTTCCATTCGGCATATGTGCTACTGACTGCATTATCAAGAGAGCTTGTACATAAGAGATATACCATTGCAATTAATTAAATCATAGATCTCGCTCTCTTTCTATTTGGGGAATTAAATGATGATGTTGCATCTCTTTGTGATGTATGAATGGGTTAAGCTCGTAGGAACTCTACATAATTCCCAGGTATTGCATTTTTAATATTCATATTTTTGAAAACTTACATTTTCCGAGACAGACGTTTTTCAAATATAGTGCTTCTATGGATACATCAAGGATATTAAAGGACCTTGATAGATACCAAGACCACTTCATGTCAATGTAAAACATTGCTGTTTAGTAGATACAGCAATGTGTTTATTGTAGGGTTAACACACCTCTAGAGGATGTCCTCCTGCCAGCCACTAGAGGCACTCCTGCTGAATAATCAAGTCAGACTCGGTTATTCAATGAAATGCTGATCATAGAGATCCTCTGATTGACAATTTGCTGTGCATGCGCATTAGTCTCCCAATGCTTCACTATGCGAAAGCATTGGATTGGCTGAGATCATCAAGATTGATGATCTCAACTGAGAAGGAACAGCAGCTGTGGCAAGACCAGTGGGTGAGTGAATCTGATTTTTTTACCTCTTGCAGCTGGGGGGGGGGCAAACATCTAAATAGTGATGAGAACACTATAGCGCTAAGAATGCATGTTTGTATTCCTAACACTAAAGCGTTCCTTTAATCCAAATAACATTTGAGAGTGAGATTGTGATGAGATTATACCTTTCTTGACCAAATCATTACAAGGTCCTGCTTCAAGAGGTTTCATTCGTAACCTCTCATGTCAAATTGAGACTTACAAATATAAGCTTATTCCAATAAAATAAGAATGCAAATTTTAATCCTCTGGATTTATTGAAATAAACCATAAGGTATCTTTCTTTACCAGAACGAACAAGGGCTGTTTTTTTTTTTTTTCATCCAATCAGGTATTGAATTAAATCTTCTTACAGCATCAGCAGTGTGCCAGTACTGTGGAGCTTAAAACTTCTGACAGTAAACACAGTCTAATGACCCCAATGCTGAAGTTCTTCTGAACAGCTCAGGTCACTGTTTGGTCTTCAAACTCAGGATGGCATTTTCTTGACACAAGGAATGCTGGCCTTACATACAGACACGGGAAGCTGTAGTGATGCCAGTTGGGTCAAGCACAATGCCAACCTGGAATGTGGCATCCTAACATTAGTGGCGCTACTCTGCACTATAACGTTGCCCATGCCATTGTGGTACAAGTTACCTGCTTCTCTGCTTGTTGAGTTCTTGTCTGTCTATCATCTGTGTGCTAGCCATGGCCACAACTAGCCCAAGGGCTCGACCAGTGGATAAAAAAGTGATATCATAGATTATCACTGAAATATTTCCTAAATTGATTTACTTACAAGTCCTTCCGATTTTCGAGGCTGAACCCAACAACCCCCGTTTCTTCATCTGAGACTGGGACCTTTAGGCAACCTTTAAACAATCTGTAGCTAGTGCAATACCTGAACGTGTGTGGATTCAATAGCTAATTGTTAAACATTCTAAAAACCTTAATCCTAGCGCATGTATTTGCTATGAAATGGTACAAATATGCATTTACAAGATAATAATATCAAACTAATTTCCCTTGGGCTATAAAAGTCACTTTCAAGCACTTTGAGACCGAATGTGTTTAAATATTACAACGATAACCTTTAACCTTTCCTCCTGTGAGGGCGGTCTCTGCCTCTTCCATGAAATAAAGCCTATAGGAAATTAATTGTGATCTAACTACAAATAGCTAGCATTATTGATCTGTTCTGCGCGCGTCAAAACGACTTAGTCTGGCCGTGCATTACCCAGCTCCCCTCGAATCTAGGTATTATATTATAGCCTTTTATTCCTTAGAGACTCGACGTTTTTAAATTAAAGTAACTAGGTGCATCTTGTAGCCTCTGTATTCAGAATCTGTATTATAGGCAATATCGAAATCTTACTTGAGTTATGGTGATCACCATGATCAATGCCCTGTTTTATTGGAACTAGCAGTGTAAAAGCGATGTATCTGTCTGCTGTCTTCTACGAATCGACAGAGCATAAAAACCAGTTAATACGGAAAATGGTGCCACGTCATAATTTTATACCGTGACATTTAGGGGGGAAATGTACTTAAGAGGGAATATGGTAACATTGTACAAATACATACAAAGAAAATTAAAACAGGCCTCTTGGGACCTGTATAACACGGCAGGTTTTAATCTGTATATAATTACGTATATGCTTTGTGACAGTGAAATTGCTAGCCAAGTTATAGATTTGCAGGTATAATAAAAAACAGAAAACCTGCCCTTCAGTTGCATTTATTTTCAACATGACTATTAGAGAATTTTAGAATTTACTCAGCTAAATTCTACCAAAACAAGTATGAAATGTAAATCCACTGACAGACCGTAATTATTGGCTGACAATAGCAACGATTAAAAATAAAATAAAAAAAATAAAAAAATCTCCAACTTGGCTTATTCAGTAGATTTTTGTTTTTTCCAATTCTGCCATTTGATTCTAAATTCAGATAGCAGATGCCCATAATTCACTATTTAGTTAATAAATCCCAAAGGAATTTAGACATTTTATGGCTTGGCGGACCTGGGGGTCTTATAATATCTGTTACAAGCCCCCTTATTGCCTGCAGGTTGTTCAGTTAACTGCAGAGCAAATGACTGGCCTTTGTAAGCGGCCACTAATGCTTGTTATTGATCTTAGCGATCCCAGCAGAATTGTACAAATTTCCAATATTAGTAATTACACAGACAATCAAAGGGGTTATATGAGGTCTCGTCTGCGTGTCTGAAAAAAAAATTTTTAGGGCACACCCCCCTAACTAAGACCTCTGACAATACTATTTTTTCACAAAATTGTTAGCTGGACAGCTACTACAAAAGCTAAATAAGAACTATCACAATTGTACTGTTATACTTAAAGGGATAGTATGTTTCAAAATGAATTGCATTTATTGATTCTAATACCATGATGGCATTGGTTTTAAACTGGTGTATTTCTTAAAAACAAAAGCTCCACCAACTGATTTCTTTTGTTAAAGATTATCCTTAAATATCTAGAATTGTAAAGTATGATGATTAGAGTAAGAGGTGCTAATGTCATATATATTACACATAGTAAAATCAGGCTATCTCTAGCACGATACATTTCTCAATTCTTGCCATCCATACGGCACTGATCATGTAAGAATAAAGTACATAGAAGCTGTAAAAAACAGTTTTAGAGCTCTCGGAATATGTTAACCTTCTATTTCCATTAAATTACTTGGTTTGCCATCTATCGACCCACCCATCCATCTCTCCGTCCACCCACCACCCCATACATCCATCCACCCATCCATTCAGCTAATGAAATAATAGTTTCAAAAACAGCATTCATTCCATTTATTTTGGCTCTTAATATTGTGCACTTTGTAACTCTTCCCCCCAAAATGGTAATAAAGACATTATTATTATTTTATTTGTAATTTTTTTGTTTAAGATCTTTTCTGGGAAGTTACCACCCTTCCTAAGCCAAATGCTCTCCCCAGCTGTTTCCACCTTCTACAATAGTAACAATAGTATGAGAGAGCACTCACTTTTTTCTTTCTTAAAGGACCACTATAGTGCCAGGAAAACATACTCGTTTTACTGGCACTATAGTGCCCTGAGGGTGCCCCCACCCTCAGGGTCCCCCTCCTGCCGGGCTCTGGGGAGAGGAAGGGGTTAAAATCTTACCTTTCTCCAGCGCCGGACAGGGAGATCTCCGCCTCCTCTCCTCCTCTTCGGCTGAATGCGCATGTGCAGCAGGAGCTGCGCGCGCATTCAGCCAGTCTCATAGGAAAGCATTCATAATGATTTCCTATGGACGCTTGCATCTTCTCACTGTGATTTCCACAGTGAGAAGCACGCAAACGCCTCTAGCGGCTGTCAATGAGACAGCCACTAGAGGCTTTAGAGGCTGGATTAACCTATTTCTGAAACTGCTATGTTTATAAAAAAATGGGTTGACCCTAGCTGGACCTGGCGCCCAGACCACTTCATTAAGCTGAAGTGGTCTGGGTGCCTAGAGTGGTCCTTTAAGGGTCAACTCCGGCTTCGCTCTCTCGAATAAGTATCTAAAAATAAATAAGAAAGACATAGCTTGATAGACACACAGTTGAAACGTTACTGTTTTGCCAATAAAAGGACTTCATCTTTTCACAAAAGAGGGCTGGACATCTTTTTTGTTTATTCTACAATACAAAAAAAGAGCGTGTAGAATAGATCCTCATTTTCCTACAGAGCTCCGCAAATATGTACTAGTCTCCAGGAAACAATCAAATCTTCCTAAAGTCTTAAATCCTTTAAGAGATCCCTGTCTACATATCTCGAAACAGAATAAACCTGATCTGTGTTAAATTTGTATACGTCTTGTGTATTAATATTGTTTTTTATTTTTAATATTATACTGTAACCTATTGTAACAATGCAATGTTTGTGATACTTGTAAATGATAGGACATATCAATGTATTCTTCCTGGTAAAATACTTATGAATAAATAAATTTTTGATTGTCTTGAACTGTGCTCGTCATGTTTATAAAGTTACTACTGCACAGGCAGGATTTACATCTCCGTAGCCGGTAAAAGCAGAAATCTCCAGTACCCCTACCTTCCCTAAACTCGGTTCAATCCTCTTATGATTTGTAACGTGATCATTATGAAATCAAAATATAATTATCACATAGGAAGGATAGGCACCCCAATCAGACTAGCGCCTATAGGCATTTG